TGGTTATGGCAGAGGTTACCCAACAACTGGTGGCAGTGTTACCAGCCCAGAGGAGTTCATTGGTTTTGGCACTCTGCTAAGCAATCCAGGGCAAGAAAAGTATCAAATTTCTCTACAAAATTCCAATGCCGGAACCTGGCCTCATTTTGTCTTGATCCAGTTAGTGCCCTAAAATGATCATGTTAATTCAGCTTTGGCAACGGGTGTTTCTCAGTTTTGTTGGCATGTACACAGAAAAACCTGCAAGGCCCCTGCCCTCATGAAATACGGGCAATCTATTCGGGATTTGGCTACACGTGGTCAGAATTTGTGTATTTACGATGAAAATTTCCAAATTTTAAGATGCACACAGGCAAGCCCGGGTGCCATGGGGTTTGATACATGGGGAAGTTGGCCGTGTTCACAATATCCAGTTAAGGGCCTCTCTCAAATCAACAACTGAATGGAGTTGCAAAAACTGGAGGTTCCTTCCGGATTTTGTTTTAAATTTCATTGTGGCCAGTTTTGTTCTGGCAATTGTGGTTTTAAGCATATCTGCTTTAAATGCAAAAAAGGTATGCACCGTGTGAATCAGTGTATTTTTTGTGGCTCAACCGGTAAATCATATGCCAATTCTGATCATCAAGCCATGTCCTTGTCTTACAATGCCAGTAGGACTCGAACCATTAGCTAAATTTCTTTCGGGTTATCAGGCAGATATTGTTGAATATCTAATTTCTGGATTTTCACAGGGTGTTTCTCTACATTATCAAGGAAATCCCCAATTTTTATTACTAAACAATTTACCTTCGGCTTTGCAAAATCCTAAATTTGTTGACTGGGGCAAGAGTTGACCACAAACCGAATAGTTGGTCCTTTGATGTCTCTGCCATTTTAGTCCTTTTGTGTTTCACCACTTGGTGTAATACCTAAGAAACTACTAGGTGATTTCAGGCTGATTCATAAGTTATCCTTTCCAGAAGGAAGTTCGATAAATGATGGAATAGCCTCAGAAAACACACATGTACAATATGCCACGGTCGCTAACGCCATACGACTTATCAAACAGCCGGGACCAGACTGTTTTTGGCAAAGATGGACATAAAAAGCGCATTTAGAATCATACCGATTCATCCAAACAACTACCATTTGTTAGGCATGAAATGACATGGACTATACTGTTATGACTGTTGCATGCCAATGGGTTGTCCCAGTTCTTGTAAGACATTCGAATCCTTTTAGCATTGCTATCGAATGGATTTCTAGATATAAGCTTGAAATTGATGAGCTCCTGCATTTATTGGGTGATTTTCTTTTTGTTTCTTCTACATATATCAAGTGTCAATCTAATTTAAAACGTTATATTTATGTATGCAACCAACTTGGCATCCCGATAGCACCAGACAAAACTTTTGGGCCGTCCACCACTCTTACCTTTGCAGGTATAGAGATGGACTATATTAAGTCTGAGGCACGTTTACCGCAAGACAAAATTGCTAAATGGGTAAAAGCTATTGAAGCATTTTTGAAACAGAAAAAAGTACGATTTCAAGAGCTTCAATCTTTGATTGGTCTCTTGAATTTGCTACTGCGGTTATAACACCGGGGATTGTGTTTACGCAAGGTGTAACTTGTCCCCACCATTTTATCTGATTGCAATCCGAGGCGAAGGCTGATTTGTGGCTTTGGTTAACATTTTTATCATCTTTTAATGGAGTTTATTTCTTTCGCAGCAATATTTGGGAAAATTTGAGTAAATTAAAGTTATTTACTGATGCGGCCAGCTCTATTGGGTTGCATCGTAATATCGCTATTTTGGAGTTCTATCCTATCATCCTCAGTTTATGTTTACAAGGCAACAAAATGCGGAATCATTCCATTTTATTTTTTACCAGTAATGAAGCCCTGGTTCATGTTATCAACAGGCAATCATGCCGGGATAAAATTTTAATGGTTTTTGTCTGAAATCTGGTTCTCGTTTGCCCAGAACACAACATTTTATTTAAGGCAAAACATATTCCAGGTATCCATAACACATTAGCTGATAGCTTCTCTCGCTTGCAGGTTCAAACCTTCAAGCAACTGGCACCAGCGAACATGAATCGTTTTCCTACTCACAAAGTACAATGATGCATCGAAATAACATTTGTGGCAAACTGTAAGAACTAATACATCCGTATCCGGGCTTCTAATCACAACATTATCATGGTCATGTGGAGCGTGTTTTGCATGAAGCAACATGCATGTGTCAGCTTCTTCATGGTCACTTTGAAGTTCTGGCACATCAAACAATTATATTATTAGATCTTATTAGTGATACTGTGCTGAAGGTGTTTGAAGTGACTTAAAAGGCAAGTTAGTTAGGCCACATAAAAAAATTTCTTGTTTAGCGTCCACCCATTTCAATTTTTCTAGGTTGGGTGGGTGGTTTTTTGTTTCTTAAAGAACACAACACAATATTCTACTACAGGGTGTTTACAAAAGCTAAATGCAGGAAATCCAGCATGCCACCGCAGTCAAAACTCACTTTAATATGAATACTGTGCATGTTTGTATGTATGCTATACATGAAAATAGAAACCCCCTATATAGCTAAAAGTTAATAATACATGCATGCACTTTATATTTGATAAAGCCAGGTTTTTAAACTTCTAATGCCAATCCCATCAATTGGTTTGCTATGTATTGAAAACATCAGAGTCTATTAACAATGTCCCCATGACTTAATGTACAGGACACAGAATTGTGAATATGTAATTTTTTAGTTGTTTAATAACATTTCTGGTTTTGTTTGGGTTAGGTGACAATCCTACCCAAACCAAAACTCTACTTACCCTATTCGCAAATGTTATTTAGCGACTATAACGATAAACACAATAGCATGTCTTAAAAATACAAAACAATGGACACAATGGAAAAATGATGCTACAGAAAAATGTACATGTCTATATATACAAGATCAAGTGACATGACATATGATATGCTATGTTAACTAAAAATTACGAGTTCTTTTGAGGCTTTGCATCTATGGTTAAGTTCTGGTTTCTGGTGGTGAACGTAGAGAGATATATACAAGATCAAGTGACATGACATATGATATGCTATGTTAACTAAAAATTACGAGTTCTTTTGAGGCTTTGCATCCATGGTTAAGTTCTGGTTTCTGGTGGTGAACGTAGAGAGACTCTTTGAAAAGTAATCAGGACCAATGTCTAGATTTATCTAATATTTTACAGTTGTATGGTGGCCCAACGTTCTCGTTGCAAAAACACAAGATGAAAGGAACATTAGGTAAAAAAGAAAATTCAAATTAAAAAAAAATAATAAAAAAATAATAAAAAAAATAATAAAAAAATAATAAAAAAAATTAAAAATAAAAAAAAAAATTAAAAATTAAAAAACCATTAAAAAATAAAAAGTAAATATAACAAATAAATAAAATAAACAAAAAAAAACACAAAAAATTAAAATAAAAAAGGAATGTGAACATCCCAATTTCAATTTGTTTTTAGCATGTTCCTAAACGAGAACAATGGGCAGTCAAAACTTGTTTTTAAATTCAGAACGAAATTCAAATGTTGCTATCAGCCCAGCGTTCTCTTAGCCTGCGATTCATCTGGCCAGCATTTTTCGCACATTTTAATGATTGTTTACTGTTTAGCACCATTTCGTTTCGATTTTATCCTGATTTTACCTAAGCCAGCAATTTCGTTATGAATGATTTATTATACTATTTTATATAAAGTGCATATGGTTTAAATAACTTCAGCATATGTGAACACTGAACAATGAAGCGCTAGGCCGCCTGGAATAAACTTAAGGAGCAGATGAGTGGTAAGAGAACCTGAAATGACGTATCACGTAAAAATAAGAATGGGTCAACACCACATGAAATCATTGTGCAGCAATTGGCGTCAGAAGCGGACAACAAACAGGCTTATCGCCCTGTCCAACCGCGGGAGTTTGTTGATTTCAAGTTCGAAGATCACTCCCTGGTCAACATAAAGAAAGCTTGCACAGTACATTTTAATCTCCCTGTCAGTACTTGTGATGTCCTAGTGTCTACCCCACAGAAAAGATAAGGTATATATTTCGTTAGAATACGTATTGAAAGTAAATTATTTCCCAATAGATAATTATTTTTCTTTTTCATGTATGTTTTCTGTGAGATCTTTACCTTGGAGGGGTACGTGAAAGATGATTTCTTGTATGTGATGGACTCAACATTTTCTGGGGAGCAACCCACACCCCTCTAGTAGTATTCACACCTTCAGCAATCAGTATTCAAAATCCCCTCCCCAACTTAAGACCCTGGTTATGCCACTGTTACCATACAGTTTGTTCAAATTGCTAATTACAATCAACAATTTGGTAACATTAGTCTAAGTGATTGTAAATTTATTCCTTGATATGATTGATCCATTCAGACTGCAGAAATTTGATATGAAAAATTGAAATCTAACTACAGTCCCCAGTCTGGAATGTTGGCGATGTACGCCGGACATGTCCGGTGTACACACACAAATTTTGGCGTACACTTGGCATACAAATATTATGCTGTAAATTTTGGCGTACAATATTTCTGCTTTTTTGGGACCAAGCTCTTTATTAACATTCTTGGACTTTCGCTCAGTTTAAATTTTTAATATTTAGCCGCTGTTTTTTAACACAAATACACAATACTTTACTAACATGACGTACCAAGTGGAGCGAGTCAGCGAGAAGACCGCTGAGTATATGAAACATTGAAATGGGAGTTATTTTAAACTTTTTATACTTTTGCTGTTTTATTTTTATTTGGATTATTCAAATTTATTCAAATGAAGACATGAAGTTATGAATCAAAGTGAGGATATAAACAGGTAAAGTGTTAAAACCTTTTGTAATTAATAATTCTTTATATAATTATATCAATAACACAGTAAATATACAATAATACAAAATATACAATAAATTCAATCATCAATCTTTAATAATTGGTTATGAATTTTATTATTTTTGTAAATATTATTATATTTTAGTTCAAGTTCAAGTGATCACGAATCGGAAGAAGAGCATGTGACTGATGTGAGTGATATTACGGTAATTGCACCAAAACAATCCTGTGCCCAAGGCAAAATTACGTCATTTTTTCATCGACAAAGTAATGTTAAGAGTTTGCCCACCAATACAATTCGTGCAAAACCCAATCATAACAATTTTGCGAAAAGAAAAACTGTTCGGGATATTCATGTGTGCCTATCTTGTGTAAATGATGTTAGCCTACAAGATAAGAGTGTGGCAATTATTTCCAGAGGCAATCTACACCAACTCAAGAGACATTATGCACGTCGCCACTGCAAAAAAGGGGACATCTGTGAAAAGTCATCCAACAATAAGACGAATGGCAATGGGTTCAACTACCAAGACACCTAAAAATGCAGCTCATTGCGAGAAAGATATACAAACCTCAAACCAGGAAGTCCTTCAAGTCCTTGAACGTCCTCACCACACAGACTTAATTTTGAGTGACACTCAGCAGAGTGACATAGCAAATATTGATCTCGATGAGCATGTCAGCCAAGTCTCGGATGTTAATATGGAGATTACCAGTGCGATTGCTACATCCTCGGCTACATCTACAATTGAAACATCAACATCAGCACTTTCAATGGCTTCAAATGTACCAACTGCAGCTTCTTCATCCCGTCATTCTTATGTGCAAGTAACCGAGCAAGAAATGTCTCGTACAGTCTGCACAGAAACAAC